TACCACTTTCTTTAATTCCTTTTTTTTGCATCTACATTCCCTTACCTATTAGCGATTGTCGTATGTCGGTTTTTCAATGGGCAATATTTACGGAGCTTTTCCTCTACTCATCAACTTTGAAATAGATGGAGGTGACAAGAAAAGGCAATGGAATTCTTATCCAAAATAGTAGTCTATGTGTAGTAAAGAGTAATTTTTGGAAAATCTGAAGAGAAACCAAACAAATTGAATCGAGTTTCTTAAATACGATAATATCAACAGGAAACAGGGAAACGGATAACCGGCCACATTTTCATATAAGCTGTTGGACGAGTTTGGTGGCAGAAGTAAAGAAGACCTTACCTGTCGTAGCATGGAGCATAGCTGTAGTCAATTGGAGTGTAGTGATCGGGTCTTTGATCACAGAATGTCAGACACTTCTCACCGGCTGATGAGCCGCTAACGCCACTGCTAGCGCAGCACTGAAATGATTCCTCTAGAACTAGTATAGAAAAGTTACTCCTCAGAGAAAGATCCCTCCTTTTTTGCAGAGTAACTTATGTATGGAGCCTGTCCCCTATCTAGGTAGCAGACTGCGTACAAAAAGCCATAATCTTCTGAGCGCACCTATAGGTGAGATCTAAAAGTTATTGGATATGTGGTGTGGTTCTCTCACCTTTCTATGATCCATTCCTTGGGCTGCACAGAATTGCATCTCGGGCAGGAAATCTATAGGGCACTCGTCTGTACCGATAAACATGGCTTCTAACTGAAACATTCGAATCACTAGCAAAAAAATCAAAGTCTTCTTACGAGCTAGTTCAGCGCAGTAAGGTAAATCTGCCTTAACTTTGCAGGCACAAGTTCAGTCAAAATATCATAAATGATTAGCAGCATATACAGTCTAATTAAGTTGGAAATTGTCGCGTTACGATAGACGGTTCGTTATCGCGACATTAATCAGAAGATAAAGTACGTGGTCCAATAAGCCAGTCAAAACACCCCATTCTAGAAAGCTTCGAAACCTTACTGTTAGTTAATGCTCTACACTTCCTCGGTCCACGTCAAAAGATAGAAAGGCTCGTGCAGGAGACTAGACATAGTCTTTATGTGATTCCAGTATTCCATCATAGCCGACCCCAAACGCATTCTGGGAAATAACCCACCGCTTGTTTTTCATAGGTATTGAAGTGGCATTTTCGAACGCATGCAGCGGGTAGACGACGTTCTTCACAGCAACTGTGG